GGACACAGGCTGATAGTCGATTATCCAAGCTTGATAATCGATTATCAAAAGATTCCTTGTCCAAAAATTTAAAATTCTATCCGTTGGAGGACAACGGTAACCCAGATAATCGATTGTCAACAAGTGATAATCGATTATTGGTCCTCTCAGAAGATTCTGGGTTTTGGCTGCAAGGACTTATAATCGATTATTGCATAAGTGATAATCGATTATTGCGTGCTTCAGAACTTTGGAAGTTCAAAGCTGCAGGGGTTGATAGTCGATTGTCACTACGGTGATAATCGATTATCACCCAGCTTAAGTCTAGCCAGCTGAAACCCGTTTTGAAAAACCGAGGTCCAAAAACGAAGTGTTCCCAAAAGTAAAAACCAGGTTTGAAAAATATTGTATATGGTATAAAATAGTGAAAACAAGACTTGTTTGGTAAAAACCAAGTCCCCAAGGTCGTACAATACGTGCGTACGGTTTTGACCGTTTTTTACGTGTTAGACCGATTGACCAAGATACAAAAGTGGTTTTTATAAAATAATTATTTGGGAACATTTTAAAAATGCTCAGAGGTAAAAACAGGGTTTAAAATATTGAAAACCACGGAGTTGGTTCGGGCGCCAAAAACCCAACGCCGAAAGCCGAACGCCGAAAGCCAAACGCCGACTTAGGTGGTTTCGGTTCCGAGCAAGGACCAGGGATTTTAACAATAAAAGAAATCATTAAAAATGTTTGTTTTGATGCACAAAAAATATTTTATGATTTGTAAAAAATTGTTTTGACTTTTTGAGAACCGAGACTTGAATTTATTGTCGGTTTTGATCACAAAAGACCGACTCGACTAAGTCTTCAATTCTTGATCTTGCCCTTGAGTCTTTTTGGTCTTGTTCCAAGCCATTCTTCACGCCTTGAGTTATTCAATGAAACTCTTTATTTCCACGGCGGTTTGGCAATTATTAAAACCTGTCAAAAATGAACACGATTTTAGTTTATCGTACAAAGTGTGTTCCAACAATTTCCCCCTTTTGATAATGGCAAACAAGACGGGGATATGCATAGGGTTTTGATTTTTTTTGAAAAAAAATCCCCCTTAATAAAAAATTCCCCCTTAATATATGTATAGCCCTTATCTTCCCCCTTTTGACATTAACAAAAAGATTGTTAACAACAAAAATCATAAAGATTTTTATTAATTAATTAAGGGAAATAGCGGAGTACATAACGAAAGCATATTAAAAGATGATAAAATGAGGAATAGAAGAAAGTAGAGCTAAAGCTCTAGAAATCCGGAGAAAGATCATTGAGAAGTTGTTCTTCGTCAATGTCTTCTTCTTCTTCTTCATCTTCATCACCATCGCCATCATCATCATCATCATCATCATCTCCTTCTTCTTCTTCTCCTCCCCCGTCTTCGTCCACCGCGTCGTCCCTACCAACGTTTTGAGTCCCACTCTGTTCACCTCCGAAATTCGGTGGAGGAATGTAGGGGACCATTTGAGCGTACGGGTAATTGACAGAGTCAAAATACCCGTGAAGCTCACGGCTCAAGATATTGACGTTGTGTGCCGTTTTGGAGACGTTGGTGTCAATCCGAGAGAGAGTAGCTGTCAAGGGTGCCATTTGCTCGGCGATAGAAGGATTGGTCGAAGTGGTGGCAGTTGAGGCAGTGGCTCTCGGTTGGCGGCGAGGACGAGGCTGCGAGAACGTAGATTCATCGGTTCCCGGGTGGAAGGAAGACTCGTCAATCTCCCAGTGCTTTGTCCCCTTTGTCTTAGGCCCAACATCGGTTTTGATGTTATACTCTTCAAGAATCGCCATGACGAGGAGGGCGTAGGGGAGCGGCCGATTGTCGGAGGTGGCGGTGAACATGTGAGTCATCACAAATTTACACCAATTGAGATTGGCGTTGTGAATCATCGCATGAATTGTCTTCGTATCCTCCTGGGAGAGAGTGGTGTGATTGAACTTCCTAGGCTTGAGAATCCGTGTCAAAACATAAAAAATGAATCGAAACACGGGACTCATGGAAGCAATCGTAGGGCGCCGCTGTTGGGGAGTGGGGACGAAGTGTCGGATGCCCACTTCCTCCAAGAGAGTGGTCTCATTGAACCGTGCTCCTTCTTCTCCGACATAGAGCCCGAGATCCTGTCCATCTCGACGAAGCCCGGTGAGGATTTGAATGTTTTCCTCATTCAAATAAATGTCCACCCCGTTGACGTTAGAGATCAAAGCTCCGTCCTCATCCTTTTTCAAGTTTGAGTAGAAGGCTCGAACAAGAAAGGGGTGATAATGAGCCTTCTTGATGTAGAGGAGGTCGAGGAAGTTTCCACGTTCGAGGATAACCCGTGCCTCACGTGGAATGGAGTCATGAATGAAGCGGGCGGTGGAGAATCGGGGAGGGAGAATTTCCCGGTGCTCAAACTTCTCTGAGAACTGCGTCGCCTCTGCGCGGTCGTTGAACCATAAGAAAGATCCGTCGAGGTATTGGTGCGCCGGTGGTGGAGAAGGCGGCGTTCTTGCCGGTGCGGGAGCGCTTTCTTTGTCGTCCTGCCATTTCAACAGAATAGGGAGAAGAGCAAGGCAAATTTGCAGAGAAAATGAAGAAAAAATTGTAGGGATTGATGAAGTATGAAGAAAATATTGAGAAGAGTTGATTGGAATGAGTAAAAGTGGAATAGATATCACCAATTTATAAGGGAGAGGTCTGGAGATCCGTTGGGGAGTTCAAAACATGCATTAATTGTTCTCCAAACGGTTAGAAAACGGTCAGATTTTTGAAAATCTACCGTTGTAAATTGATTTACACTCCCTGTAAATCGATTATTTGAGGCCTCTGATTCTCCGCTGAATGATCTGCGGTCTTCAATAGTCGATTTCCACGTTTTTGTAAGTCGATTGTTGAAGTTTCCAGCTGAGTTGCTTCAAACTTCTGTAGGCTCCGATAATTGATTTTCTCATTTTCCTTCATACGAAACAATTCATATTCATGGGTTAGAAAATCAATTTTAGCTTCTCGGACTTGATCCGTACCTTCGTAGGTGATTTCTAGTTTGTCCCACATTTCCTTTGCGGTGGTGCAACAAGAAATCTTCTGGTAGTCATCCGGGTTAACGGCACAATAGATGATGTTGATGGCCTTGGCATTGTTTTCCACCTTCTTGATGTCTTGTGCATCATATTCATCCTCAGTCTTAGGGACGTTGGTTTCCTCGACCTTCTTCATTGGCACGTCCTCACCATTTTTGATAATTCTCCAAAGGAGAAAGTTGGTGGATTGGATGTAAATCCTCATCCGCTCTTTCCAATAGGTGTAGTTTGTTCCATCAAGCAATGGAGGCCTCGTGGTGGATTCCCCTTCACCTAAACCTGCGTATGAACTTTGAGTAGAAGCCATTGATCGTTTCTCTAAAACGGTTAAGTCTTTCAGAGAGTATGACTCTGATACCAATTGTTAGAATAAAGGCCCAACGCTAGAGGGGGGGTGAATAGCGTTTAAAACAAAATCGCACACCGAATTTTATCCTGGTTCACCACAACGTGTGGCTAATCCAACCCCCCGAGAGACTCTCTCGAGCTACACTAACTCCGTTAATCTTAAGGGTGCTTAACAAACCGATACAACTTGAGAACCCGAGTCACACGAGCCTCAACACCTTTGCTCGGAGATACCGTGCTCCAAGGCTTCTCACGAAGGAACAAGGAACTTCCTTCGAGTTTACAACAAGGGAACAACCTCCCTTAAAGTATATGAAAACACTTAAACACTCAGGAATAAAACTCTCACAAAGAGTAGATATGAGTGAACTAGTAAACGCTCAAGAACACGACAATTTCTTCAAGAATTGGCTCTATGATAATCTTTTTTAGACGAAGGGAGTATATAAATTAAAAACTTCAATATACTTTATTCAATGATTCTATTCATTTGAAGTTTATATGCTACACCTGTTAGAATAAAGGCCCAACGCTAGAGGGGGGGTGAATAGCGTTTAAAACAAAATCGCAGGAAATTAAAAACGAGAGCGTTAAAGAAAGAGCGTAAGGAAGGAGCACACCGAATTTTATCCTGGTTCACCACAACGTGTGGCTAATCCAGCCCCCCGAGAGACTCTCTCGAGCTACACTAACTCCGTTAAGCTTAAGGGTGCTTAA